TTTTTTTTTTCTTTTTTTTTTTTTTTTTTTTTTATTCACGCCTCAAACTTTACCTCGTCTATTATACTCAAGCTTTACAATATCCATAGAGAGGGAAAGAAAATATCGGAGAATATTACTCGTTAAGGTGAAAGGTAGACGAGGAATTAGCGTTGGAAACAGTTCGACGTCAATTACATCAGAAAATTACATCGGTTCGCACGCATGAACCAGCCTAAAAAGCGAGGGACGGAAAAGGTTACGTCTATTTTTGCGCGAATCGCCTTGTGATGCGTCACGACGGCAGACCTCCCATCCATACCACGACTAAAATTATCATCGCGATATCAAAGGATTCTCGTTGCTATACGTGACTCGACAACGTAGCAAATACAAAACCTAACCCACACGCTGTAACTGCCGACTCTGGAACCACGTGTAAAACCGCGTCACCCTTCCGCGAACGGGCTACCCTGTACATTTCAGGATCCAAGAATTTACCATGCCAATCCAGCCTCTTTCACACTCTATCCACGGCCTGCAACTGCATACCCTATGCATACCCTATGCAACTACAGCAGCTCGTTACCGAGCCACGTCAAGGCTTGCTGCCTTGCATTTTACATGCGTCCCTACACGTACTTATCGTCCACATTACATGATCTCGCATCGGTATGGCGAAGCACGCTTTCCTCATTACTCTCTCGCTCCTTCCCTTTCTCTCGATGCCCATCCCCTCTCCACTTCTCTTCCTCTGTCGATTCACCCCTCTTTCACCCTGTTCTTTGTCTCTTTCTCTCACACTCGCTGGCTGCCTGTCTCCGTTCTCCGCTCGACTGCTTTCTCACGTTCCCGTTTTCCATCAGCGACAACCTATCAATAAAACGCCTTCCTCGAAGAACGCCGTCCATTTTCCTCGGCGTCGCCTCGCTGCGACTCTGGCACCGTAATTACATGCGAATGAGGCTGCTGGCGCATCCGTCACCCGCTGCCTCTTGCAACGGCTAGGTGCCAGCCTGCCGTTGAAAGGATCAGTTTTCGTTGATTCCTTTCGGTGTACGATGCAAAGTTTCAGACAATCGCTTCGTCGATCTTAAGGAACGTTCGTTCTACGTGTTTCCTATAATTACGCGAACACACTTTCCAGGAGAAGAGTTTAAGAAGATAGAAATTCACTACGTTTATTCAAAAGACAGTTTGAGTGATTTAATTTAGTTAAACGAAAAGAAGTTTATGGGAATAGATTTTTATTTGGTAGATGCTAAATGTAGAATTGACGGGATAATCATCCGAGGTAGCGACGGATACCTAAATAGGGAAGATACTACGGTAGGTATAAAACGGTCAAGGACTAACGAGCAGGTAAGCAGAGAAAATAGGCGGAAAACGTCAGCGGGGACAATTTGCTGGTCAAGAAATACACGTACTCGATCGATCGGGTATCGTTTCGTTCGTTCAGTAATACTGATCAACGACGCGTGACCGTCCATGGTCACATTTTGTAGCTCTGCCTAGTCTGTCTGGCCATTCAGACCTTCTACTACTTGCTCGACGCAATGCCTCTTTCCTAACTCGTTTGTTTCTTTCTTTGCGGAAACGCGCAAAGGCGCCTGATTTTCTTGGATAAACGCATAAATCTCCTCGGACGTTAATCTCTTCGATAAGAGGGATGCAAATGAAAAAATAATGGTATTATGAATGGCTGATAAAAATAAACGTTCTTTAGAAAACATTTTACGTTTTTCGTTCCTCTAAGCAACTTAAAAGAAAGTCTCCTCTACTTTTAGATAATTAAGTGCATTCTGCTGTTTATTGTTAAGTGTCGAATACTGCAGTCCTTGTAATCCATGGTAGTCAGGGGAATCGATCATCGTCTCCTTCCTTTTTTTCTTTCCTTGCGTCAATAAATAAAATCGAAAATCATAAAGGCTAATAAAAGAAAATAATTAAATACAAAGAGGATAAAAAAAAGGAAGCATAGTGCACGAGGCAGAAGTATCGTCAGCAGCCGCAGCATCGTAGTTGTCGAAAAAACAGGTTGCAAAACCGACGTACCTCATAATCTCATTTTCCTTTTCCTCCTCCTGCTTCTGCCTTATTATAACCTCCTCGATGGTGCTCCTCTCCTCAGGGGTGAGGTGCGACATATCAGGTACAGCCGCCATCACGGACGTAAGATAGGAACGTGCACGGGAAGGTCTAATCGCGAGGAGTTTAGCGCGACGCGCGGGCCGGCGCAGCACCGACGACGCCGCCGATGAGGTACCGCGACGAGGATCGCTCGCCGCGCGACAACGCTCGTTCCTACGGGATATCGCGTCCTTTCTACGACTACGGGAAGGCTGTAGCGTACGGGGGGAGTCATCCGACACCTGGTAATCGGCGCAGCTGGCCACGACAACACGGGTACGCCTTCGACGAGCGTAGATTATGCCGTGCTCTCGCTTTCGTATCTTCCACTGGCTGTTGCTTGTCCCGCTGCTGCTGTTTCTGTCGCTGCTGTTTATGCCGTTTGTCACAGCATACAAGACGATGACAATCGGTGACGATCGGTACGCAGCTTGGAAGCCCGTCGACGACGACCA